ATCGGAAGGTTTTGCTGCTGCCCGCAGATGTTTGCAAGCAGATTTGCGGCGCACTAGCATGAGTGTAAGTGTTAACACATGCTTTTTCTCTCTGTGCGTCTTAATTTGTTTCTTGTACAGTAGGTCACCTGGAGCACCATCTGGGTACTCAACAAAATCATCAGAATCATGCATAAGTTGTTCAACATTGGTATCTGGCAATCTTGGTCTTTCAACATTCGGAGCTGCCGGCTCAATGCGAATTCCTTCGCGTGCAGGCAATGGTTCTCTTTGTACTTGTCCACCATCAATCTCGAAAAACAACTGATCACCAATGGTTTGGCTCCACACTAGTAGTGTGATTGGCTTGACATTCCCCTTGAAGCCATTCTCAAGCCCCCTTAAAGCCACCTTGAACGGGTCTCAAGCTCCGCAAGCGTCCTTCAAGCCCTTCTGAAGTCCCGTCCAGCCCGCTGGAAGCCCGTCCAAGCCCTTCCCAAAGGGCTCTTTTATGTAAGAACTTCTGTGCGACAACTTCGGTGCCCTAACTCCTGTGTAATAACGGCTGTTTAAGATGATGTAAATGATGTAGCTGATGTACATGACTGGTAGGAAATAAAGAGTTAGATGTTAGATTATGGCATAGTGGATGGCAAGGGAAGAGAAGTTTAAATAAAGAGTTAGATTTTAGATCATGGCATTGTGGAAGGCAAGGGGGAGAAGTTTAAACAAAGACTTCGAATTTAGATCATGGCATTGTGGAAGGCGGAGGAAGTTTAAATAAAGAATTCGATTTTAGATCATGGCATTGTGGAAGGCAAGGAGGTGGAAGTTTAGATAAAGAGTTAGGTTTTAGATCATGGCATTGTGGAAGGCAAGGGGGGGAAGTTTAAATAAAGAGTTCGATTTTAGATCATGGCATGGAAGGCAAGGGAACGGAAGTTTAAATAAAGAGTTCGATTTTAGATCATTGTGGAAGGCAAGGCGGGGAAAAGTTTACCATGGCATTGTGCAAAGGCAAGGGGGGGAAGTTCAAATAAAGACTTAGAATTTAGATCATGGCATTGTGGAAGGCAAGGGGGGGAAAAGTTTAAATAAAGATTTAGAATTTAGATCATGGCATTGTGGAAAGCAAAGGGGGCGAAGTTTAAATGAAGAGTTCGATTTTAGATCATGGCACTGTGGAAGGCAAGGCGGGGAAAAGTTTACCATGGCATTGTGCAAAGGCAAGGGGGGGGAAGTTTATTGAAGACTTAGAATTTACATTATGGCATTGTGGGAGGCAAGGGGGGGAAGTTTAAATAAAACTTAGAATTTAGATCATGGCATTGTGGAAGGCAAGGGGGGGAAGTTTAAATAAAGACTTAGAATTTAGATCATGGCATTGTGGAAGGCAAAGGGGGCGAAGTTTAAATAAAGAGTTCGATTTTAGATCATGGCACTGTGGAAGGCAAGGGGGGCAAGTTTAAATAAAGAGTTCGAATTTAGATCATGGCATTGTGGAAAGCAAGGGGGGGAAAAGTTTAAATAAAGACTTAGAATTTAGATCATGGCATTGTGGAAGGCAAAGGGGGCGAAGTTTAAATAAAGAGTTCGATTTTAGATCATGGCACTGTGGAAGGCAAGGGGGGCAAGTTTAAATAAAGACTTCGAATTTAGATCATGGCATTGTGGAAAGCAAGGGGGGGAAAAGTTTAAATAAAGAAATCGATTTTAGATCATGGCACTGTGGAAGGCAAGGGGGGGAAGTTTAAATAAAGACTTCGAATTTAGATCATGGCATTGTGGAAGGCAAGGGGGGGAAAAGTTTAAATAAAGAAATCGATTTTAGATCATGGCATTGTGGAAGGCAAGGGGGGGAAGTTTAAATAAAGACTTAGAATTTAGATCATGGCATTGTGGAAGGCAAGGGGGTGGAAGTTTAAATAAAGAGTTAGGTTTTAGATCATGGCATTGTGGAAGGCAAGGGGGGGGAAGTTTAAATAAAGAGTTAGATTTTAGATTTTGGCATAGTGGATGGCAAAGGAACGGAAGTTTAAATAAAGAGTTCGATTTTAGGTCATGGCATGGAAGGCAAGGGAAGAGAAGTTTAAATAAAGAGTTAGATTTTAGATCATGGCATTGTGGAAGGCAAGGGGGGGAAAAGTTTACCATGGCATTGTGCAAAGGCAAGGGGGGGGAAGTCCAAATAAAGACTTAGAATTTAGATCATGGCATTGTGGAAGGCAAGGGGGGGAAGTTCAAACCTTTCTGAAGCCCCCTTGAAGCCCTTTGAAGCCCTTCTGAAGCCCCCACCAAGCTGCCTTGACTCTTCACCTTCAAAGCCCTTCTCAAGCCCCTGAAGCCCTTCTGAAGCCCCCCTTCAAGCCCCCTTGAAGCCCCCTTGAAGCCCCCTTCACCTTGAAGCCCCATTGAAGCCCTTCTCAAGCCCCCTTGAAGCCCTTCTCAAGCCCCCTTGAAGCCCTTCTCAAGCCCCCTTCAAGCCCCCTTCGAAGCCTTCACCTTCAAGCCCCCTTCAAGCCCTTCTCAAGCCCCCTTGAAGCCCCTTTAAAGCCCTTCTCAAGCCGCCTTGAAGCCCCCTTGAAGCCCCCTTGAAGCCCCCTTGAAGCCCCCTTCAAGCCCTTGAAGGCTTCACAAAGGTGAAGCCCCCTTCAAGCCCCCTTCAAGCCCCCTTGAAAAGGGCTTGAAGCCCCCCTTGAAGCCCCCCCTTCAAGCCCCCCTTCAAGCCTTCTGAAGGTGAAGGGTACTGTTCGTTTTAGTCTTCGGATCCTTCCTGCTTTGGTCCCTCTGAGTAAAAGGCAATGCACAACTAGTCCACGCGTTTCTTACGCTTGTCAAATCGCGTACAAGTTGGCTGGTGCGTGTTGCCCTCTTTGCGTGCGCGCGTCTTTTAAACGCGTTTAGGATGTTTCCGGGACATTTTGTATCTACTCCATTCTTGGAACATCTTTGAGAAAGCACCACTAAATTCAAGGTGCTACATTTGGCAGTCGCCTGATGAATTTCCTGTTGAAAAAGAAAGATGTTATCAATTTTCAACAGCAAGCACTTTGATCCATGGGGGGCCTAACGTGAAGGTAAGAGCAGGCTGCAGTAGGTGCCATCACACTTGTGCAAACAGGGTTGGCAGATCTGTGACGTACATCTTGTGCGATGTCCTCAACCTTTGTAGTTCTGCAAGTTTTTTTGATCAGGAGTTGGACATGAAACTTTGACTCAGCTTATTTAAACACAGTTTCAAGCAAGTCCGGTTTTCGTTTTTTTATGGACCATGTGCATGAGCAAAAACAACACAGCAGCGCTGTAGGCTGAGTCGGCTCAGTTTTCCAAAGAACATGTCTTTTTCAACGACAACAACTCATATGCCGAATCTTGCTTTATTTGGCTGCTGAACAAAATTAAGAGGAAATGGATCTTTCAACGCAACTTCGCACTACCAGTGCCACTATTGTCAGCGGCGCAGTTGCTGAGCGGGTTGAGGCCCACCTTTGCTGCTTTTGCATTCTTTATGACAAGCTTTATCTACCCCATGTGTGCCGCCACTGCCGTATTTTTCTTGGGAAACGGCAAACCTTCAATTGCGAGTGATCTCATGGTTAGGCGTTTTCCATATTGTGTATGACCAGTTTTTGGACATACAAATGTATATGGTTCATGCCTGGCGATAGCCTCACGTTTCGAACGAATTGTTTTTGTTTCCGCTATTTGCACGGTATGTAGCTAGTGGCGCGTAACCCGACGTTTGCGATCGCTTTACTATATATATGAATATAGAGATAGTTTGTGTTTGTATATTGTTTTAACGCGTGGTCAGAATATATGCAGGCATGTAATTGCCAGCATATGGTTTTGCGTTCCTTGGTTTGCTGTGCTGGTGTTTTTGCACAGGAAATAGTTTTGTTTCCTGGAGGAACAACCGATTTGTGAAAGTTTATGGTACCGGCTTGATTTGGATTTGACGTAACCATTTTTATAGCTTTATTTAGATCGCATGTGTTATTTTGATTTTGATGGAGGCTTGAACTATGTGTTGATTAAATCATTTTGTCCAAATAGTTTGGCGATTAATTTGTTTTCTTTTCGGGACTCAATGGATCATGAGAATCAATAACATTTCTGCATTCAGGCTGTCATATTTAACACAATCAATTGTAGATGCCCATCTAGCAAACAGATGAAACCGTATTACCCCCATTCCTGCTGACCATTGTTCTTCCACATTTGCCTTGCAAAGGTGACTCGTCTGAAGGGAATTAATGGAGATTTGACGTACATCAAAAAATCGGCATTGGAAAAAATTGAGGAAATTGCATAGGGTCACCAGGGTATAGGTGAAACAAGTGCTACCAATGGCAGGAAAAATCCAACCCACTTATATCTGTATTTACAGTAACCTGCAAATAAATATATAAATTATTATTTGACCGGGTAGTTAGTTTTTTTAAATTTTATTGCCGTCGTCATGGTTACAATTTTACGTTGATCTACATGTATTGGCATTAACTTGATTTGTTCTTGCATGTGGGTTGCAGTTTGAACGTACTGATTTTCAAATAGTCAAAAAAATGTTTCACATTTGTGTTTCGTTTTGTTTTAATAAATTGTACGTGCTGGGTGAGGTCAGTTCTGGTTGAAACTTGCAGGTCCATAGGACAAAGACACAAATAAAACACAACAAACTTCTAAGCAAGTTGCATCGAACATTGATATATATATATATATAAAAAGGGTTCTGCAAATAAATGTTTGGGTTTTCAAACCATTAGCAAACATCACAGGTCGATATTTTTCATCGATCATGTTAGTTTTTTGTTGTGTTTGAATTTTCTAACAGTTTATCCAACAGAAGCGACGACAAACGTTTGTTGAAAAGATCCGCGGACACAGAACTATTTTTTTGACCCGCCGAAACACAACAACACAACTAAGTTCTTAATTGGAACATCTAGTTGTTTTTCAAAATGGGGGATCCCCCAAAACCATGGGTTTCAATCCTATAGTTTGGTCCAGGTTTGGATGATTTGGGTGTCATCCGTGGGTGCCATGTGCGATGTTTGGGACGACCTTGCTGGGTTGCCTTGTGGTGGCATCAACCCAAAGCATCGAATGGTATTCGCAATGGTCAGGCGTCTGGGTATGGAGGTTCCATATCTGTGAAAATCAGGATGTTTTTTTTGGTACAAATTTGCCTTAAACTCTCCATTTTTTTTTTGTCAAGTTGGACGTGGGGCGTGTCAAAGGTTTATTGTGCCTTCTTCGCACATGTATTCAAACTATTCGGTTTTTTCTTTTGCAAATCTTGAAACATACATAACCAACACCAAATTCCGAATTTTCATGTCATTGGAAACTATCGGACATATCAAACACAAAAACTTGTGATTAAGAAACGATATGGTTGATTTCATCAATAAAAATTGGGGCAGGACTGAGACACGGTTGCATGTTCCTATTTGGGTTTTGGTGAAAAAAACAACGTATAAACTGTTCATGTTTATCCAATGGAATTAATTGATACACTGTTTGACAGGTTGTTGGTAATTCCCAAGACTTTACCCAATTAAAGTTGGAATTCATACCCATATGATTTTCAGTATATGGGGCAAATTATAACGACCTCACTGCGACCCACCCTGGAATCATGGTTGATTTTAGGGGAATCATCCCACAATGGCCGCAAATTTCAGGTTATTTCAGGTGAACTATTATAGTTTGTCCAGATATATCTCTAGTTACTGTGTATAAACCACATGTATCCGGGATAGCATTGACATATATCTGGGCAGGCAAAAAAACACCAACGCTTAATGTATGGGATTGATTTCCGGCGTTTGATGATCTTGGGCTCCTGGGAAGTCCCGGAGGTGCACTGACCAGGGCCTTGCACCACATGGAGCAAGGCTCCGATTTTGGGGTCGTCCAGTGGATCGAGCAGACCATGGAGGTGGGATTCACCGGCTTCACCGGATTTACCATCCTGAAAAATGACCATAGATGGATAGCAAAAATCATCCCCAAATGGTAGCTTTATATATAGCTTTATGGCATTGGCTTTACCATGTTATTTTTGTTTTGATGGATTTTTAAGATCTAAACAAAACCTAATTGGTATTGAAACGGGTTTAAAGGGGGTTTGTACAATAAATGGTGGACATCAATATACAAAAAAGGATGAACTCGTTGTTCCCAAAATGCCTCCAACAATGAACATTTCAACATACATTGGACTGTCATTTAGCTTGAAACACAGATATTTGACCAACGACATTGAGGATGTCCGTGTGGATGTTTGCGAGACATGGGCCACCCTGAGATCTTGTCCTGGGACACTTATGGGTTTGTTTGCAAAAAAGGTTACCCAAAAATTTGATGATTAACCACTTAATTATATTTTTTCCCCAAACAAATGAGCATTTTAATGGGTATACGGTATACGGTATATCACATTCTCAGACAAATCCATATCCACCCTGTTGATTCTCGCCCTGTGCAGGTCCTACAAGCACAAGCCTTTGCATGTTGGAGTCACGGTGGTCGTTACTGGGAGACGGATTTGACGAGTACGGTGGCTAGACGATCTGCGGCTTCAACCGGGAGGATGATATCAGGGGCAAGTGGTGGAAGTGAGGATAGAAACACATAAAAATTTGAACAAATAACAGTGATGAGTTTTTCAGACATGGGATACTTTTACATGAGAGGGTGAACATCACCCATTTTTCAGCAAAGCCATAACGTTTTCCTACAACATCTACAACCGAGGCCTACTTCCAGTCTTTGCAGATCGATTTCGAGGTGGGGGATGACCACTTTGACGATGTCCATGGGCTAAGTCTACTTTGACGATGATTTTTCCCGAATTTAAAGCGCGAATGCAAATAGATCAAATAGCTCATTTTCAAACAAGCCCTGGTGTGTTGGTTATTGGGATGAAAGGAGTGGAATCTAACGACCAGCAGAATTCATCAACAGATCATAGGCTGCACGCAGATGATATCCAATTTAAAACTCGAGGAAATCCTGTTGGAGCGTATTTTTTTTTGTTTCTGCATTGGAGTTTTCCACTTTCAACGGTGGAAGCTGGTTCCGTGACAAAAACCCTATAAAATTAGGGTTAAATCGATACCGAAATGTATTATGTCCAGGTGCTTTCGTTCCTCACCCGTGGATGGTCACCGGATGTTTCTATGTCCCATCCTTCGTTTATAAACTCCGTTTGTTGTATTTGACATACCCATCTGTGGTCAGTGATATCTCCATCGTTGGATCACTGGATGATAGATACCTTCTTAGATAACTTTCTCCATAGATCAAAGTCCCCATTCCCGCATCCCCAAGTGCCAGAAATAACCGAACGGTCCGGAAATCGGCTTAGCGTTTTCATCAATTTTCATGTTCATTGTGATGTTCGTCTTGGTGGAAACATTGGCATTTGCCACATGTTTATATCATGGTGATGTCTTTTGGCGCCTCATTTCCATTGGGATTTATGAAGAATCATTGTTTTACAGTGGGAGTAAAAAAAAAATGCATGTTGAACACCCTCAAAAAACGTTACGTTTTTGGGATGATTTCCCGTTTCGCCACAGCACCAACGATTCTTTTCCATCACTTCAACTTGCGGACCGTCTTTGCAGTGATGTCACACACATCGTCATTTCGATGTATGTATCGCCATTGCCAAGCCAAGTGTACAACGTAACATGAAGCGTGCTTACCGAAGTACAACAGAAGTGTACAACGTAGCATGAAGTGAGTCTACGGAAGTACAACAGAAGTATACAACGTAACGTGTGCTTGCCGAAGTACAACAGAAATGTACAACCTAGCATGAATTGTGTTTACGGAAGTACAACAGAAGTATACAACGTACCAGTAGTACCGCACAAGGCGCTGGCGGAAGTTTCAAAAATAGGAAACCTATAGGAGAGGTTGGTTGTTGTGAATCAGGGATTGCAGAGCGAAGCCACTGATGGAGCGAAAGGTGATTGATCTCTCTCACTATTTCTCTCTCTTTTCTCTGACTATCTACCTACCTACCTACCTATCTATCTATCTATCTTTCTATCTATCTATCTATCTATCTATCTATCTCCCTCTCTCTCCTTCATCAGTCTCGCTGTCTACCTGTCTATCTGTGGTGCAGTGTCATTGAGTGCAATGTAGTGTAGTGTGGTGTAGTGTGGTGTAGTGGAGTGTAGTGGAATGTAGTGTAGTGTAGTGTAATGTAGTGTAGTGTAATTTAGTGTAGTGTAATTTAGTGTAGTGGAGTGTAGTGGAGTGTAGTTGTATAGTTGTAGTTGTAGTTGTAGTTGTAGTTGTAGTGTAGTGGAGTGTAGTGTAGTGGAATGTAGTGAAGTGTAGTGGAAGGTAGTTTAGTGTAGTGTAATGTAGTGTAGTGTAGTGTAGTGGAGTGTAGTGCAGTGTAATGTAGTGAAGTGTAGTGTAATTTAGTGTGGTGGAGTGTAGTGTAGTGGAGTGTAGTGTAATGTAGTGTAGTGTAGTGTAATTTAGTGTAGTGGAGTGTAGTGGAGTGTAGTTGTGTAGTTGTAGTTGTAGTTGTAGTGGAGTGTAGTGTAGTGGAATGTAGTGAAGTGTAGTGGAAGGTAGTGTAGCGTAGTGTAACGTAGTGGAGTGTAGTGTAGTGTAATGTAGTGTAGTGTAGTGTAATTTAGTGTAGTGGAGTGTAGTTGTGTAGTTTAGTGTAGTGGAGTGTAGAGTAGGGGAGTGTAGTGAAGTGTAGTGGAGGGTAGTCTGGTGTAGTGTAATGTAGTGTAGTGTAGTGTAGTGGAGTGTAGTGTAGGGTAATGTAGTGTAGTGTAATGTAATTTAGTGTAGTGGAGTGTAGTGGAGTGTAGTTGTGTAGTTGTAGTTGTAGTGTAGTGGAGTGTAGTGTAGTGTCATGTAGTGTAGTGTAGTGGAGTGTAGTGTAGTATAATGTAGTGTAGTGAAGCGAAGCGAAGCGACATCTGAGCCTCCAAAAGTGGTCCGAACCCCTGGTGTTTTGTACATTTTGGCTTGGAAATGGGCTTCGCGCCACAACGGCGTGCACTTTTTGGACATCTCAACTTCCAAAAGTGGTCCGGAGCTGGTGTGTTTTGTACATTTTGACTTCGAAATGTGCTTCGCGCCACAACGGCGTGCACTTTTTCGACATCTCAACTTCCAAAAGTGGTCCGAACCTGGTGTGTTTTGTACATTTTGACTTGGAAATGTGCTTCGCGCCACAACGGCGTGCACTTTTTGGACATCTCAACTTCCAAAAGTGGTCCGGAGCTGGTGTGTTTTGTACATTTTGACTTGGAAATGTGCTTCGCGCCACCACGGCGTGCAATTTTTCATCTCTCATCTGGCCAGCTGGCTCCGCACCCGCCGCTTTAGCGAGCCTACTTTTCGACCCTCCGGAGCCACAAATCATTGGAAAAACACAGTGAATCGCGACTTTCCTACCTTTTCGCGCATCTGTATCTTCTTTCTTCTGACTCTTTCTCTTCTACTCTTTCTCTTCTCTCTGCCTCTTCCCTGCTCTGCTTTTCATCTGTCCATATTGTCGGAAGTTTGACTTCTAAACTTCCTTCGAACATGAAGCGTGCTTGCCGAAGTACAACAGAAGTGTACAACGTAGCATGAATTGTGTTCACAAAAGTACAACAGAAGTGTACAACGTAGCATGAAGTGTGTTTACCGAAGGACAAAAGAAGTGTACAACGTAGCATGAAGTGTGTTCACCGAAGTGCAACAGAAGTAGACAACATAACATGAAGCGTGTTTACCGAAGTACAACAGAAGTGTACAACGTAACATGAAGCGTGCTTACCGAAGTACAACAGAAGTGAACAACGTAACATGAAACGTGCTTACCGAAGTACAACAGAAGTATACAACGTAACATTACACCCCCCCACCCCACCCCACCCAAAAAATATCACAACACATAAAAACACAAAAACGCTAGGCCGGTTTTTGGGCCGTAGGCAAAAACAAGTCCCAAACTTACAAGTGCCCAAGTCCCCTCAAGTTTCCAAGTCCCGTCTCATCATTATCCCATTTTTATCCCATTCTTATCCCTATTAGACCATGATAAACCACATAAATGGCTCCGTCCCCGGTTCGCCAAGGGTCCCTCCAAGGGTTCTTCCAACGCCCGTAAAGGAGGACGACTGCGACGGCTGTCTAGGGCTGATCGTGGAGCGGCTGCAGCGGCTGCCGGAGCATCTCATCGGGGGCCTCTGTGCGCCTCAGAGCTGGGAAGAGGAGGAGGTGCTGATCTTCTGGGACAAGGTACCCTCTGGTTATGTCAAAATAGCTATTGAAAATGGCCATTTATTGTGGATTTTCCCATTGAAAATGGTGATTGGCATCTTTTTAGGATGGTTGCATTGCTAGTTGGTTGCGAACGGATTTTCCGAGACAAATCGCAGATTTTTGAAACAGCTTTATCCATGACATAAATCTGGGATTTCCAAGGAAGATTCCATGATCTCCCATAAAATATACCAATGGTGCAGGGTTAAAACCATAACCCTTATATCTGTCCATTTCCTCGTCACTAATCCCAAAATGAGGCATATCTCAACTTGGCATCACCCCATTTTAAAAGCTAACCACCTTCTCCACTTTTTTTTGATTCCTCTTTTCCACCGACACAAATCTCGTGGAGCCACATGGCGAAGCGTCAGGTGCGAAGCAAGGCGATGCCGCAGTTCCTCTCGCGCAGCTTGCAGTTCGACTTCCAACTGCCCGTGCCGGCGAGGGAGGACTTACAGGCCGATGGGTCTCAAAATGGGGACTATTCAGAAATGTTCTGGGAAGATTCTGACATTTTATGATGGCATTAATATGGGTATACACAATATTAGTACCATATTACCGTATGATGTTTCCGTATATTTTATGGGTGTATCCTTATTTTCAACTCATGGGATTGATTCCGTTTTGTTGTGGAGGTTTCCTAAAATGGCGATAGCCTCAATAGCTGGTTGGTTGATTTCATGGAAACACCCCATCTAAAATGGATGATGAAAATGGGGCACCCCCATTTCAGGAAACCTCCAGGTAGCCTGTGATAAACGGTTCGCAAGTGTAGGCCAATGGAGCGTGACCATGTTGACTGAGTCCATGGCCATGATCTTTTAAACCATTCATGCCAGGATAGATGATTTCATGGTTGAACGTTCAATGATTAATAGTCTTCAATAATTTTGATGATCAATTTTTAATAATTAATGGCGTTAATGGTTATATATTGTTAATAATATTCACGATCAATGGTTAATGATAATGTTGATAGTGTGTAACGGTTTAATGGTTAATAGTTTCATGATAATGCCTAATGACTAATGGTCAATCATGATGCTTGACAATGTTTAGTAAAGCAATGTCACAAACCACTCATATTTGGAGGGTTTTAATAGTTTTAATCCCACCCATAAAATTGGTAAACTTGGGGATGGTGGATCCTACCGGTTTACCAACATTCAACCATTTGGAAATGCTAAGATAGATATGGGCAGATGATGTACATGGATATAGATACTGCGTTACATTATGTTACATCCCAATGGTTCAGAAATATGACCAGCTTTGAAACAACAGTCATGGGATACAGCGAGATTAATCAAACAGATTCAATATATGCACATGGCCACTGACTATATATATATATTTATTATATATATATATATTACCATGAATATATCAAACATCGGTAACCTACATTTTCTCCAAAACGTGCTGGAACGATGCCATTCTCCGAGTGGTGATTTTCCTCTGCAAAACCGTCCAACCACAAGATTTTTCATGGTCACCCTTTAGAGATGCGATTGGCATCTCTCGTTCTGACCCGTTTAGTGCAAGATCTACCAATGTTTTAAGTCCCCGTTCGTGTTTCAATGCGGTTCCGATCCGTGGCAGGATGCCTGTTGTTGCGCTTCATGTCCCGAAACACGGTGCATTTCTGATGTCCCTCGAACTACAATCCAGGTGATAGTTGTTGAAGAAACAATGAGAAAACATATAAAAAAAGACCTGGAACTGTTGATGATTCTCCCATTTACCCCAGATTTTTTACATGTTTTTCCCAGATTTTCATCTGTGGAGTTCTACTCCAGGTGGTGGAGCTTTCTCATTGGTCTCAGCTGAAGCTGGATTTTGTGGTGGCTGGCTTGGAGCTTCAGCTGAAAAAAATCCAGATCTGGCGAGTCGCAATTTATGGGGGATTTCACCAAGAAAAAATGGGGATTTATTGTAACATATTGTAACCAATAAAAATTAAGGGATTTAATCCCGATAAACACCCCTGGTTTTAAGTTTTAAATAACAGAAATAGGGATTTGACCAATCTTTTTAAGGTGGTTTCGCCAGCAAACATGGTTGTCTAATGGGGATATAATGGGTATTTCTCTGAGGTGAAACCAGTGCAAGATTTGGAGTTCCATGACACTATGTGAATCAGTTGGAGGATGTGTGTTACAGTAACTCTTATCGCACATTGGGTGAACCCTCTCGTGGGATCAGGATGTCATGTTTGGAATTTTTTAAGCACATTCCGGAAGAACAATCAGGATGCAAGAAAATTGCGATATGATGCGTACATTACCCTCTGGTAAATTAACATAACTATTGAAAATGGCCATTTATAGTTGATTTACCCATTAAAAATGGTGATTTTCCATAGCTATGTTAGTTTACCAGAGGGTATATGATATGCAGCCCCCGTTCTAACCATACAAATGGCACCAATGTGCCGTTGGGGCGCAGCATTTTTTGCAGGACAGTTGCGGCACCAATACAGTGACTTACGGCCTGGCTCAGGCGCAGTGTGGTGATGAGCTTGTGAACATGCAGCTCTTTATGCATTTACATGTACACATATATACATATCATATATATATATATATCTATATACATACATATATACTTATACATATTTATGTAATCTATATCTATATCTATCTATATATATATATCTATATCTATATATCTATATATCTATATATATATATATACACATACTAATATATATATATATGTATTTACATTATATATAGAGTTTTCACCTTTCCCCCGGAGGCGGACGAGATTTCCTTCACCATGGAGGATGAGGATCCCTTCTTCTTCCGCCACGATTCCCTCTTGCCGTACCGCCACGAGGCCTGGGAGGATTGGGAGTCCTGCTGGGGGTTTCCATAGCCATGTGGGTACCCAAAAATGGATGGTTTATAATGGAAAATACCATTAAATTTTAATGGATTCTCCATGGACTGGTTTTAAACTAGGAAAATCGTTAAACCGGAAACCATCGATTTATAGATTTTCCTATTAAGATCATGGAGCTTTCCATTGACCCCTATAACTGTGGTGAATAGATATCCACTGACTGTGGATGGTGCTGCAGGTGCAGCGGCTTGGAAGACGATACTTAGTGTGCATAAATCTAGTCAGCAATTTTTGGCTCGCTTTTCAGTAGGTAATATTTTACCTCCAAAGCGGACCCACATATATGTAGCTCCTGGTTAGTCTATACACTCTCAGAAATTCAGAATTGGTTTAAGTGAAAATCACGACATTCTGATAATAACTTGCTCTAAAAACTAGTGATTTAGTGAACAATCCCTTTAATCAATCCATTGATTGGTTATATTCCCAGAGTTTTTCTGGTCTTGCCCAATTTATGGCACCCAGCATGGTTTTTCCCGGCACTTCTCAGGTGGAGAGCTTTAACTTCCAGTGGCTTCGCAAGGCCCGTGCGCGCCCAGCAGCCCGGCCCAGCGGCCAGCAGCTGTGTGGTCTGAGACACCCAGGGCTCTTTCACTCACATCGGGTGCGCTTGGCGTTGGCATCAATACCCAGGTGGGGGGTGACCGCTGGTGACCAATGGGGTTTCACCTGGGCTGGAAAAAGTCAGGGTGATCCAAAGTCATGAAACATGAGGTGAAAATGCATTAGTCTATAGTCATGGAATATGAATGGGGATGTATGGTGATATGGTTGACCAACTTTGTGAAAAAAAATCAGACAAGAGCAAATAAGTAAGATGCAACAAAAACAGATCCTGGGGCTGACATTGGATTCTTTGGGGAATATGGACATTGAATAGGAACTCAAGATCTAAATCCATTTCAATCCCAGCTGACATTGGAGTAGGAAACACAGTGGATCTTCCAAGGCTACGATGGATTAAGGATGAAGATGAAGATGATGATGATGATGATGATTCTCTGACGGATCTACATCTATACATCTATGATGCCTTCTCCACGATCTTTTTGAACTCCATTTATCAATCTATCTGCTCATCTCCAGTTTTTTGCATCCCGTGACAGCAGCTCCGTTTTGCCCTCTGAATTGGAGGATTCGGACAGAGATGCCAAATCCAAGCGATGAAAGGAGAAACCAGCGATGGACAATTTGAATCTGAGGTGTTAGTACTCTCCTTACTGGTGCTGTTTACGTAGGAAATGGGGGTTTCATGATCCAATCCATCACTGTTTTCAGAATCATCCCCCCCCATTCTGTAGTCCCATTCTCTACGTTTAGCACCAGTCCCTGGAGGCTCAAGATGATTCTTGTTCTTTGTGATCCGCTCAGCAGGTGGGATGGCTATGGGATGAGGACGGATAACCCTGGTTCCCTTTTTTTTTAGCACCAGTTTTTTAGATAAACATCATCCAGCCATGACAAGTCATGCACCAGTCGCTGATTCGATCAACAACTTGGGACAAAATATTGAGGCACCCAGTCGCCTGCGCCAGGTTCGAAAAGAGGTGGGGATGGGAACTGGTGGTCCCAGCGCGCCAGCGATAGATCTGAAAACACCTGGAACATCAGGTCGGACAGGATGGGGCCCCCTGTCGATAGTTAACTTGCCTGAAAATAGCGACTGAATTATGGTTTATGGTAGATAATTATATATATATAAATACATATACATATAATATAGATATATAACTACAGTATACTATAATATTCATGGATGTTTTGGCCCATCACCAACGTTCACATCACCCTTTGGCCCAGCCTCTAAAAATTCATCGAATCCCATCCCAAAGTGATCCCATTCCACCAGGGGTTCAGGCGCCCTACCACGAAGGGCATACCACGAATGCCCTTCTTGTGGCCATAGCTGGGGAAATCAAAAGGCAGATCCCATGCGACCCAAGTAATACCGAAAGAATGTGATGGGATCTGTTGTAGCAAGCCCAAAGGTAGAAAAGGAGAATCCGACACACACACACATATATATATTTCTATCTTTTTTTGGGTTGCTACAATCTAAATCCCAAGTGGATTTAATTCGCCCGCTTTGCCCAAATGGGATGGTGGCAGATGAGTGATTCATGGCTTGGATGACGGATGAGTTTACAGATAGATTTACAGATAGATAGATATAGATGGGCCAAACGCACATAGAATCTAGAATCTATCTTAGATAACTATAGAGAGTTTTGTTCTAATTTATATGAATCTATTTTAGCTATATTTTAGCTATATTCCTTTGTTTGTTCATCAGATTTCCATGGTATTTCCATGGTATTTCTTGGGTGCTCCTTTACGTTTGCCATGGGATTTTTGCCAGGTTCTGGTTGCAGAATCAGTGCCAGGCGGCGGCAGACCAATCCACGGAGACCTGGACGGTTGGGTCCAACGATGGGATCTATATCCGGAGATATCCGGAGTTTGTTTTACCCTCTGGTAATTTAACGTAGCTATTGAAAATGGCCATAGAAATAGTGGATTTACCCATTAATAATGGTGATTTTCCATAGTTATGTTAAATTACCAGATGATATCCGGAGTTTGTTTTACATACCACGGAATTTCTTGGTAATAAACCATCAACATGTAATAATGCTATTTTTCATAGTGTTCTTGCAAAAAAAAAGAATGGTTTTATTGCTATACATTTTTGTCGACACATCTGACACATCACCATGTTCTATATGTATCTTTTATAGCTGTGTTGGTAATATGAATTCTATACCAGTCGATGGTCAAAACTCACTTTCTTATGATGATATAGAACCAATTCAAAAATCTTTCATTTACATTCTGCCCCATTCTCCTCCTATTTCTAATCCCTTCCCCCTAATATTAAACACCCCCTAAACGAAACCATGGTTTAGTAGGGAATTTCCGCATACTTTGGACCAATTTTTTTTTGGTGTTTCATTATATGAACGGCTGCTGGGATTATTGGTTCAGAAGCCAATCATCCCAGAGCCAGGTCAACGTGCATGCCATCCCTCGTGAGGGTCGCTGTTTCTGGAGCGCCAAAGCTGCGCTTGAGGCAGGGGCGCCTTTTTTTCAAACATGGCTGCGTCTGAGGCAAAAACCAACCCAGAATTTCTGGTGAATTTTTAGAGGGATTCTACTGGTTCATAAGAAATAGTTTAAATTTAGATGGTTGCAAATGAATTAGCCTCCGGTACTCCACCGCTGGGAAATCCTTCTAAATAGAAATTGGGAGAATCATCTATCATCTATTGACATGTTTGATTACAAGAAGGTATTGTAGGTGACCAGCGGATGCCAACGTTTCCCCCATTTATGGATGAATGGCCACATTTATGGCCATACAAATGTCAAGTGGGGCATCCACTGGTACCCCAATTCATGGCCATCCTAGCTAATTCTGTTAGGGTGAGACTTACTTGTGCTAAACGTAGGGAATTTTCGGGATGATCCACTGGCTAACTATGAATTTCATAATCCCAGCAACCCCCAGCAACCCATCCAGCAACCCATCCAGCAACCTACGTATTTAGCACCAGTATTTTGGGACACTGTACCCCATTTTCAGGGCCCATTTCAGTCAGATTTTCTATGGCGTTCAACTCGACATCACTTGTATTCCCCGGTTACGAATAGCCTCGGGTAATTTCACATAGCTATGGACAAGCAAGACTTTTTATGGGTAAATCATTGAACTCATTGGGGCATGGCTTCCAGTTTGCTACCTTAAATTGCCTGAGGATATCCACGTCTTTAGAATCAGTATCCCATCAGTATCCCATCATTGTCCCAGCATTATCCCGTCATTATCCCAATATGTAGACATTATAGCCACTATATCCATCTAAATATTCCATATGAATCCCCATCATGTGGTTGGTTGTATCCCATGAATTTAAGTTAACATTTGCCTCGCTTTATTTTTGCTTCCGAATATTTTCTCGAGGAAAGCACCCCGAAAAGAGGAGGGTTAGCTGCAGAAATTATCAACAATATGATTGATTTGCCCATCCCAACTGGTTTTAGATTGCAAAAAAGACGCAAAACAACTGTTGAAACTATCGAAAGTGACATCCCCCAAGTGACTTGGTCCCTTTGGGAACATTTGCAGCGCTCAAATTGATCCATTGAATGCCCATGGATTCTTATGGTGTACATAATGTACCCTCTGGTAAACTAGCATAGCTATTGAAAATGGCCATTTATAGTTGATTTACCCATCAAAACTGGTGATTTTCCATAGTTATGTTTGTTTACCAGAGGGTATATCCTATCAAGATCAAAAATCCATAAATGTCCCATTCATATCCCAGTATGTCCCCACCAAAAACCTCCGATTTCCCCTTGATTTTTCATAAAATCACAGTTTGGAATGGAACATCTACCCCCAAGCAGCGATTCTTGTTGGTGATGTCTCCCATAATATCTTTAACCTTCCATAAATATTCCCCTCAATTCCCCAAAAATCTCATAAGATTCCAGACATTTCAGAAATATCCTACAGTTCTCTGTTAGAAATATGCCATAGATCTCCCCACGACGTCCCCTGGCTCCAGGAACCACATCTGCTACAGCAGGTGGCTTTCAGCCGACACCTGGCACAGCTGCAACGGCTCATGGGACCCCACACCTTGCGCGCGGTGCATCAGGCGGGGTGTTTTCACCGTGGCTTAAAGCGGTGGAAAAAATCAAGTTGGTAGTTAAGTGTGAAAGGTGTATATTATATATATACAGAATATATATATATATATACATAATATGTATATATATATATACATAATATATATATATATATATACATAATATATATATATATGGTCCCGGCCGGCGGCCGGCACCCCCCCCCCAATGGTATCCCCCCCCCTGCATACATACATACAGGCCTACCTACCTACCTACCTACCTACATACCTATGTACTTACGTACGTACGTACGTACATACATACATAAATACATACACACATACATACATGCATACCTACATACATACATACATACATACATAAATACATACACACATAGATACATGCCTACCTACCAACCTACGTAGGTACATACATACTACACCCACCCCACCCCACAGGGGGGGGCGGGGAAGCATAAATACATACATACATACATACATACATACATACATACATACATACATACATGCATACATGCATACATACATACATACATAAATACATACACACATACATACATGCCTATACCTACCAACCTACGTAGGTACATACATACTACACCCAACCCACCCCACAGCGGGGGGGGCGGGGAAGCAGAGATACCTTGCATGATAGTTGGATTCCAGGGAGATAGTACACCCAACCCTAGGAACCATCACCATCGCGGGGGGGGGAGGGGGGGGTTGCACGCCTGTACCATATATATATATACACTATATACATAATATATATATATATATGTACACATAATATATATATATACATATTATATATATATTATGGCTACTACATAAACTATGTATATTATCTTATATAGATATATATATATATGTAAAACTATTTATGGAAACTATTTATGGAATGGTTGAAAGTTCTAATGAAGGATATTTGTGATCTTGTGCTGTATATGTTTTATATGGTTAGATGGTACAGTCAGATACACCTACTGCAGCTGACAGGAGAGTTCACTCAGTCTCACCGCAGTTAATAGACTTGCCCTGAAGATCACATTCTGCCACGACTCAATGTTTCGAAAGTTTCTCCGTGGGCTATCCATGTCAATGTGTCAAAGTTTCAGCCCCGGGATCAGAGTTCTTGTTGGCACGTACTGAAATCAAGAATCTATGTTTGGGCTATCCAGTTTTCACTAAAATCCATTCCGAATTAAATTCCACTTTGGATTGTAAACTGGGCTACCACATGCATTTGCATGGGGGTCCCATGCATATTTACAGCACTCATTCACATTTTTGGGTGTTGCATTGACCTATGGGTGTTACCTTTGCAAAATAGGGGTCTCCGAAACCATTGGTTTTCCCCTTGGTTTTATGAGCCAATTTGGATCTGGTCCTGGGGAAACCGTTCGCCAGGCTTCTTTCCGCCAAAGCTTCGCGGAGGCTTTTCAGCGCTTGGTGGAGTTTCTGGGAGTGCAGAGGCGACTCGGACATGGTGACTCAGTGCAGAAAGGGTGAAAGAAATAGTAGCAGTATTAACCGTTTACAGCATTTATGATATAGTAATTGTCATAGTCAGTTTTTTTAGCATTCATAAGAGGGGTAATTGTAATAGTAATCATAGTTAGTAGTTCAACAGGAATATTTTTTTGGGGATTCAACCATCCAATGTCTTGGTTTGATTTTTGGATGTGCAGCCAGGCGAACAAATCCAGGATGTTCACTACTCCCTTCCCCCTCTGGCAATCAAACATGGCCACGGACAATCCCCATTTGGATGTGCACACATCCAACATGAGAGGACCGTTTTCCCATTTAAATCTATGGTTTTGTGGATGTCCCAGCCATGTTAGATGACACCGGAGGGTCCGAGGGCTGGTGGAAGTGTCATTATTGGATTTGTTCATCTTGGGGTCCCAAACATTCGGGGGTATGGAATAGTTTGATTGGTTATGTATAAAGATTGATACATGTATATATATATATATATGTTACACATCACTAAACCGTGTTCAGCCATGTAAAATCATCTTAAAGCGTGTTGAACCATCTTAAAGCGTGTTAAACCATGTTAAACCATGTTAAACCATCTTAAACCATGTTAAACCATGTTAAAGCGTAGCCATGTTCAACCAGTTTCGCAATTTTTGAATGGAGGGATGGGATGCCTCGAAAAACAGGCTTGTGCCCTTCAAGCCTCATCGTCACAATCACCACGGGTGCCGCACCGGCGGGTTTTGGGGCTGCAAGATGCTTGCTAGGAATCTGTGGGTCATATATAAAACAGTTGATGTTATAACAGGGGTTTCCATAAATCAGAGTTATATAGTTATATATATATATATCAGATATAAAAACTGTTCTATAAAAACCTATAAAAGAGAGTCGATTGACAACTGTTATCAAACATATATAGGCATAGGGGTTTCCATAAATAGGGAATACCCCAATGGCTGGATAGTTTATATAGTGCATGGAAAATCCAAAAATAAAATGGATGATTTGCGGGTACCCCCATGACTCAGGAAACCTCCATATTGATTGATGGGTATAAAACATTATCAGAATTGACAACAAGATAGAGCATCATCAGGATTGATGGTTATAAACACCAAACATCTTGCAGCAGAATCCATTGTTTGCAAGCTGCAGACACACTTCCATGATCTTCCATGTGGGGATATCATCTCAATCCATGCGTGGGACGTGCCTTAAGTTACCACCCACTGGAATTTGCAGCCACTATCCCCCGAAGTGACCATGCCATAAGTTGCTGATGGCCATCCCCATTTGCACACCCTGACAATTTGCAGCTAATCGGAAAACAGTAATCTTTATTTCAAGTGCAGAACATCATCTGAATCGTCCAAATCTTTGAATATAGGTTCTCATGGTTCTCCTGTTTACCAGTTTTCTCTCATTTTTGCAAGAATTTGTGGATATCTTCATGGGTTGTCTTGTGGATATCGATCGCAGGGGTCATCGATCAGATCTGTGCCGCAATGCCTCCTTGGTCAACGAACCCAGAGAATGGGTGTGGAGCGGGTTGCGCAGGTCACCTTGGTAATCAGTGGTTTGATGCGGTAAACCCCATGCCAGAAACCATCCCCAGAAATGGTTTCTGTTAGTCATCTCCAAATGGTAGGTTTATGAATCATGATTTTAAGCACAATTTCCTCAAGAAAACATCTTCCGAAAAGGGCCTATGGCAGCTTAGGGTCAATCTGTAAACCTTTCATGTGGGGATTTCCTAAGTCGCAATCCCCAAGTCGCCATGGCTTAACCACTACAGCTTGGTCCTCCATGACTGGATGATTTGGGGTAGGAAACCTTCATTTTTTTGACAGCGGAGATAGAGACATGCAGAAAAGGCAGAATAGATGTGGATTAAAAATGAGCGAAGGAACAATATCCACAGGGTCTTGGCAGATAATGGCACCCTCAAGCGACTGTGTCGCACGTTTGATTCGTAGAAATTTAGGCTTCAATACAGACTTCTCCAAAGGGTTGACAGTTCCACAGGTCATATGACACACACACACACATTTTGTTTGGGTCAACATATTTGATTGTTTGCCAGAGAGTGATAAGCATCGAGCAACTCGAGCGCAATCTGAATATGGCAATCTGACATGGCAATTTTTCAACAGAAAACATCGAAAGGTTTGGGCCTACGGTCTCCATTAGTCTCCATTGCCATGTTTGGAAGACAGTGAACCCCAATTTGAGGTAGAATCAATGAGACGATCATCCAATTTTTGGATCATCCTTCTTAGTTTCATAGTTCTATTGTCTATGTAGATATTGTAATATGTCTAAAGATGGGTCATACAAGAACTTTGTTTCTCTGGATGATGCAATCGATAGATTGTAGAAGTCGGACAAGCCCTTGAGAGGTTTCTATTTTCAACACAAAAATTGAAGGTTTGGCATTTGGAAGGCGATTTTACTTCTGGTCAAAACCTTGGATTCTGGATAATGTGGTAAAGCCAATGCCATAAACATTCCATTTTGGATGCGTTATACAACCTATTTTTGGTGATTTCGGGGATGGTTATTGGATTTACCACATGACTTGTATCCCCATGTTCAGAGACATTGCAGGACAAAAACTTTGGATCCTAGCTGTAAATAAAGAGTACGGACCCCCAAAGATCTACTGCAAGTAATCAAATTCCTGCAAGAAAACTCATGCTTGGGGGGTCTTTTCATTGTTTTGGAAAAACCTTTCGTGGCTATGGATGGGTCAGAATTGGGTACCCTCAATATCGATAGGATTGATAGGCTCCGGCCCAATCATTTCTGTAGCTTGGAGATATGCCGCCAGTAACCATTGTTCCATGATTGTGCATCCAGAAGCATCAACCAATGTAGTTTATTGTAGTTTAAATTGTCATTTGTTCAAGACATACTCCATCAAATCCATCAAGTCCATCAATGCCTCTTTCAAGCAATCATTTACCCTCTGGTAATTTAACATAGCTATGGAAAATCACCATTTTTAATGGGTAAATCCACTATTTCTATGGCAATTTTCAATAGCTTTTTGTATGTTTACCAGAGGGTACCATTTGTTTTGGGATTTTCCATGTTTGATTTTCCATCCCCCGAGGTCTCAGATTTGCAAGCGCTCCTCAGCTCCGAATATCGCGCCGTCGAGGTGCCGGAGTTCCAGTCTGCGCAGCTGGGGATGTGGTCAAAAAACGTGGGATTCTCATGGAAGATACGGCGATACGATCAAGTCAAAAGCACGATTTTTTTGCATGCAGTATCACGCACTGGGTACATGTCAAGGGAAAATTAGGGTGTTAAAACCAGGATCAAGCAGGGATTTTAGCAGGAAAACAACGATTGGACATACAGAGAAAAACCTTTCAAATGCATGGATCTCCTGTACTTATCCCTATCGATACCAGGATCAAACAGGGGTACATTCGGGAGAAAGAGTCACCATTTGCAATATCACAAACTGGACCAGAATTGAGCCCTAGATGTATTATTTCAGGGTTTTCAGTTGTTGAATCCTGGGGATTTGTAGGTGTGGTAGGGACGCCAGTGCTGAGGATATTGCCAAAATTGGGGTTCTTTCTTGACTTGGAAACCGCTCTTACAGGCGAGCTTCTCTTAATATCCCGGGGCTCTACACGTTGACGCGTGTGCCCCACATTTTCAGACATACAGAGTTTGAGTTGAAAAACATGTCCAAAATTGTGTCCAACAAAAGCCAACATGCCAAACTGACATAGCAGATTTGGTGCATTAAATTCTTGTCAATGATTTCCACACGAAACTACCTTGCACTCACCAGACTTTGTGAGCTGGAAAAGGTTGTTCCATTTTCCCATTTTGTTCGGAGGATTGTCCTACTAGTGCTTCATGATCATGGTCAGAAGTCACGGTCGAGATTCGCAGAAGTACTTTCAATGGCAACTTACCAAGCTGCCCCCCCATCCTTTTAGTGCAGCCGCTGGTGGCAGTTCAATGATCAACTTTTGAGCATGGGGGTGAGCTTCAAGCCCTCAACAAAAAATCAATCAAATCAACCAATTCCACTCCAATTTGTTCAACAAGTGAGAGGAGCAGAACTCAAGACAGTCTTAACACAGAGCATGCGCGCTGCAGATCTGGACGATCAAGCGATCGGAAAAACCTGGTTACGGCGCCTCAAAAACAGCTGGGAAAGCACCGTGCGCAACACCTACTTGGATGTGCATCCCACGTAATAAGCGACTTAAAAACTATATAGAGCCCATATCTGGTGGGTGGGGTATTCAATATGTAACTGTGGGTATGATATGTGACCCATTTACTAAGTGGGACGCACGGCTTGGTAGCCAAACCTGGGCCTTTGCCCGACGGCTAGCGAAGGGGATCCATGTGCAGGAGCTGCTCCAAAGTCATGGTGGGGGCGCCGCCTTGCCCGAGGACAGCAATCAGCTCCATGGCTGGCTGGAAACTCCCTGCGCTGGTTTAGAGCTGGGAAAAGGATCTATAAAGGGGGAAGTTTCCATTTCCATTACTATGCGTGATTGCCAGAGGGTTTTTTTTGAAGTTGCTAGAGCAGGACCCCGTATGAATGAAGCTCCTCGGCTTGATTTTTGAGCCAGGGGCTGTTGCTTCCAATGTTCTGTGAAGACGAAAGGGTTCGCGGGCCCATGACGTCAGGGGCGCTTGCTTGCTCAATTTGATTATTGTTCACAACTCCCTGTTCTCAAAACATGTCCATTCGTACGGTTGTTTCTGTTTTCCAGTCCCCGAACCCACAGGAGCTTAAGTCACAAAAAAACCGGACCAAAAGTAGATACTTTAATTTCATTACGTTACATGACGTGACATGACATGACATTACATCGCATACACCCATACACTCATATGCTCGCATACAAAAAAGTGACACTAGCGCATTGGCAAAAAATACCCTACGTATGTGCGATAGGTTAAATAGATAGATAGACAGGTAAAAAGAAAGATAGATAGGTAGATAGATAGAAAGAAAGATAGTTAGATAAGTAGATCGATAGATAGGTGTAAAGATAAACAGCTAGGTAGATCGATCAATCGACAGATAGATAGATAGGAAGATAGATTGATACATAGATAGGTAGATAAATGCAATAGATTACATTAGATTGGGCTAGGTTGGACTAGACAAGATTAGGTTGAACTAGATTATATAGGTTATTTTATTAATTAATGAGATAGAGAAGGCAGAAAAGAAAAGATACAGTAGAGTGGATTAGATTGAATTAGATGGGGTTCGATAAGGTTAGATTAGAAAGATAGACTCATTGGATATATAGATAGGTAGATGGGTAGATAGGTAGATAGGTAAACAGATAGGTAGATAGATAGGATGGAAAAAAAGATAAGATAAGATGAGTTATGATAAGGTAAAATAAGATAACATAAGATAGATAAATAGATGGATAGAGAGAGAGAGAGAGAGACAGACAGGCAGGCAGGCAGGCAGGCAGACAGACAGACAGAGACAGACAGATAGATAGAGATCGAGAGATCGATAGATTGATCGATAGATAGATAAATACATAGGTAGGTAGGTAGGTAGGAAGGTAGGTAGGGAGGTAGGTAGGTAGGTAGGTAGGTAGGTGGAGGCACGTTGATAAATGCCCTTGGCATTTTTGTACATTTGCAACATTTCAACTACGTTCGTGTTGTCTTGGGGGGTTATAGGGGGGTTGTTGGGTCTGGGGGGTGGAATAGCGTTCTAGTCTTATGTGTGTTGATGAACTCGGTCTTTTAATAGGTGCTGAACTTGTTTTTGGAACTTCCGACACACACACACACACACACTGGTTGCTGCGCAGCTCTGAATACCTTCTAAAACAGTTTTGCTATGTTCTGAACTTGTTCGTGGAACTTCTAATACGCTGTTGATGCTACGCTGTGAATTTGTTCTTGGAACTTCTATGACGCTTTTGATGCTGGGCTCTGAACTTTTTCTTGGAACTTCTGACACGCTATTGATGATGGATTTTACGCTTGGAACTTGTTCTCGGAACTTCTAATACACTCTAGATGCTACGTTGTGAACGTGTTCTTGGAACGTCTAACACGCTCTTGAAGCAACTTGGGCAACCGTGCCAACTTAACAAAGGAGTTGGGCAAGATTATGTGACGTTCAACTGCAACGGGCGAGCAGATGAAAAAAATACTTTTGAACGGCATCGTGGGTTAACCATTCAAACTCAAAAAATGCTGCAAGTACCCGTGAAAAAAACAATCCTGCGTGTTTCAAAACAGCAGGGAAGCATTGTTTTTATTTTTTACGAAGAGCACAAAAATGACTTTAACGCATTGTCACAAAAATACGCTACGTATGTGCAGTAGGTAAACAGATAGATAGATAGATAGGTAGATAGAAAGAAAGATAGATATGATTAGACAGGATTACACAGGATAAGAAAGATAAGATAGATATGATAGATAAGAACGATAAGATAGATAGATAGATACAGAAATGGATGGATGGAAAGATAGATAGATAGATAGAAAGATAAATACATAGATGATAGATAAATAGATAGATAGATAGATAGATAGATAGGATAGATAGATAGATAGATAGATAGATAGGATTAGATTAGATTAGATTAGACTAGATTAGATTAGATTAGATTAGATTAGATAGAATAGATAGATTAGATAGATTAGATAGATTAGATAGATTAGATAGATTAGATAGATTAGATAGATTAGATTAGATTAGACAGATAGATAGATAGATAGATAGATAGCTACAAAGATTAGATTGGATTTAGATTAGATAAGATAAGATTAGATTAGATTAGACAGATAGATAGATAGATAGATAGGTAGATAGATAGATAGCTACAAAGATTAGATTGGATTTAAATTAGATAAGATTAGATTCGGTTAGGTTAGATTAGATAGATTAGTAAGATTAGATAGATAGAAAAATAGATAGATTAGATAGATTAGATAGAAAGATAGATAGATTAGATAGATAGATAAGATAGATAGATACAAAGATTAGATTAGATTAGGTTAGATTAGACTAGATTAGATTAGACAGAAAGATAAACAGATAGAAAGATAGATAGATAAGATAGATAGATAGATAGATAGATAGATAGATAGATAGGTAGATAGATAGATAGATAGAAAGATAGATAGATAGATAGATAGATAGATAGATAGATAGATAGATTAGATAGACAGATTAGATTAGGTTAGATTAGATTAGATGAGATGAGATGAGATTAGATTAGATTAGATAGATCGATAGATTAGATTTAGTTTAGATTAGATTAGATAGATTAGGTTAGATTAGATTAGATTAGATTAGATTAGACCAGGTTAGATTAGATTAGATTAGATTAGATAGATAGATGGATAGGTAGATAGATGGATAGATAGAAAGATAGACTAGATAGATAGATAGGATAAGATTGGATTAGATTAGATTAGATCAGGTTAGATTAGATAGATAGATAGATAAGATTAGATCAGATTAGATTAGATTAGATTAGACTAGATTAGATTAGATAGATAGATTAGATTAGATTAGATTAGATTAGATTAGATTAGATAGATAGATAGACAGATGGATAAGATTAGATTAGGTTAGATTAGATTGGATTAGATTAGATTGGATTAGATTAGATTGGATTAGATTAGATTGGATTAGATAGATAGATAGATAGATAGATAGATAAATAGATAGAAGGATGGACCTGGTGTTTTTGCGGTTGGGCAAACAAGATCGTCGAATTTGGGGGGTATCAAACATGAAAATGTTCCATGTATGGTGGAGCTTGCTGGTCCCAAAGGCTTGTCCGGTTCGAACTGTGAGCTCCCGACCTTCTGATTTGACGGCATTCACCGCTGCTAACATCAACCCAAAAACTAATAAATCCCTAGTTTATGAATTGAGGGGGCCTAGTTTATTAAATTGAGGGGGCCACCATTTAGACAGGGAAATATCACCATTGTGGGACTACGAGGGGGGTTAGCAGTATTGTGACCTGGTTGGGCCCATGAGTGTTTCTGGCCACACTGAAAACCCAGGAACCCAAACCGTTCTGTGCGCAACATGTAACAGTAAACTTCGGAGCTTCCGAATTGCAAAATCTGCCTGCGCCTTTCTCCGTTACTGCCAAGTATCAGGAACCAAGGGTAGACATAGCGCCGGAGAACCCAACCTTGGTATCATGACACCGCAGCCCCATTGTATTCATTTACATGGATTGGTCTGAAAATAAGGCATCTCCCAATCTTGTTCAATGTGCGTTGTATAATTCCATGAACAATACTGAGGTAAAACTTTACAAAATTGATGGTTTATCACCATTCAAAACAAGTATCCCTGGTCTAAGACACACCCAAATAGTAACATTTGTATCTCAAAAAAATATCCCAGCACTGTTTCATTATATGGGTATGTCTGAAAATGGGGTATACCCCCAATTATAGCCATTTAGTAGGAATAATGATCATTAACCATTGCCATTGGGTGTAGGGGTACACTATTTTCAGACAAACCCATACCTCAGGAGCTCCTGTTGCGTCGCACGCGTTGCGACCGGCCCGAGGTTCCTTTTTGTACTTGGGATTTCTCCCCAAGTGGCCAATTCAATAGGTAGAATGATGATAAACCATGGGAATTTGGGGCTGAAGTCTTTGATATGATCAATAATTGGTGAGTAATCAACATTTTGACCGCATCTTCACCTGCAAAAATTGGGTTTTGAAACAACCAAATTGATGTGAATCCGGTCAAAACTATATAGCATGTTGAGGGGGCAGCAACTATCCAGAACTTGGGTCAAAATCATCTTTGAGGTGACTGTCTCAAAATAGGCTACGGCCCATCACCGTACCATGAATTTCATTGCCCGACAATGGGTGTGGGATCTTTTACGAGTCATCATTGATGGTCAATGTTGATGAATGTCCTTAGGATGCTGTTGACTAGTATCCTGAAATGTTGGTGACTGTACCCCTTCATTGCGGTTTTATTTTCTTGCGAAGTATCCACATTCCACATACATAGTTTGCATAAAGCACCAGCAGTCTGGGAAATATCATCGATATATCCAACAACAGTGTGGGATTTATCATGAAGCACCCAGATTCTTGGTGTTTTTTGTCCTTTTGATGGATACTTGTACTTTGTCCAGTGATTTCTCACGCCAGGGTTTGGATTGTTCCATGATTCCGCCCTGTGGCACTAGTCATGGGCTATCCCCAGTCGTCACCATAGCGCCATAGCTATACTAAAATGGTCATTCATGACCTGCATGATTTGTGGGCAGCCCTATTGTGGGAAACCCCCAAGTGGTGATTTTTGAGTATTGGACCGTTCATTTTCTTTCTGGGTAGATGATAGCGACCACTGTTGACCGTAGAAGATGGTTAGGATTCGGAAAATCATCCCCAAGCGGCCGAAATAATCTGGTTTGGGAGATGTTATTCTCCTTAACATATGCCCTGAAAATAGTCGTTTTTTTGGTGGAAAACTACTCTTCCAACCCCCTATTTGGCAGGGTTTATGTCAGATGATTGGAGGGTATGATCATTTTCCCAAGTTCGTCCGGGTCAATCATTTTGACCCATACCTTGACTTCACATCCGGTGGGCCAAAAAATCCTAGACCGAAAAACCACCAGGGCCCCTTCTGTTCTGTAACCTTCACTATCCACCCCTAGTGGATGGAGAAGTCAGGTGTTTAGACCTCGATTTTGGTTGCTTTGACCTGCATAGAAGCTGGTTGGCTTCTTGGAGCCCGAAGCATGCTACAAGGTGGCGCCTTACTTAGCAAAGTTGCTGAAGTAGATCAACTAGGAAAAACTAGGGTTTATGGTAGATGTACCATGATGTAATGTGATGTACCTATAGTTAGATGATCACTTAGATGGGTTTATAAACCAACATGTCACTCGGGGGGCATTGCCTTGTGCACATCCCAACAGGATCTGGCAGAGCAGTCTCATCCAGCAGTCCCCTTGGAGATCCTTGTGCCGCTGTAAAAGCGGCGAAAAAGGCGGCAGCGCGTGGCGATGCTGGGTTTCTGCATGGGTTTCTCTATGGTTTTAACCATCAAATATGGTGATTTTTAGAGAAGATCTGGAGGAATCACCATATTTGATGGTTAAAAGTCCGAAACCATGCTTTCTGGTGGTGGATGCCACGGTAAATCATGAAAAAGAGCTAGCCTAGCTGTTGAAACAGCTGTCGGAGATGGTCGGCGAAGTGAGTATGGCCCCATGGAACTCGGATACCATTGGTATATAAAGTGGGTGCTAATCTCTTCCAGGGTTTGTTTTTCTGCCGGTGCATGTTGGCAGTGTACTTTTTCTAATGTTCAATCAGAGATGATTCTATTACATATATATATATATATACACCATTACACACCTACTCTACCACCCATGAGGTTACTTGGAGGATCATCCCACTTAGTCAGTGGTTAAAAACCCGGGTTAGTAAGGCCCCATTCACTGCGGTCATCCCATTTATAGACGGTTTATAAATATGGTTACCTTGTGCCCTTAGAAACCAACATTTCTTGTCATTTTTCCGCTGCTATTTTCAGCCTCACAAACCTTTTGGGGCGTTGAAGTCGACGGAAGTCGTTGGCTCGTTTCGATACCGTGCCCTTCTCGCCGGAAAGCCAAACAGGGGGGTCCAGAGGGCAATACGGTTCAGATGCTTTGATGTTCATCCTAACTATTTGGTTTGGTCTTAAGGTAGGGGGATACCCTCAAATGGAGACCAGACGGAATCAGTCACCCACTAGCAGAGTCAGACCACAGTGAGTCAATCACCCCCCATGTCGGAGTCAGTCACCCTCCGCAACCCCACTGGGGGCGAGGGGTGACTTCCCTGCGTCGTGCCTCGTGGGCCATCAAAGTGACATGGTTTCTTTGGGGTTGGTTCTGGGTCTATTTAGAGTTGGTTTTAGGGTAGGTTTAAGGTTTCTGCAGGGTTTCCTCATGGTTTGTTTTAGGGTCTATTTTGGGTTGACTTAGTGTTGGTTTGGGGTTTATTCAGGCTTGGTTTAGGGTTTTTAAAGGGTTGGTTTAAGGTAATGATGGGTTTCGTCAGGCTTTGTTTTAAGGTTGGTTTAGGGTTGGTTTAGGGTTTATTTAGGCTTGGTGTAGGGTTTGTTTAGGCTTGGTTTAGGGTCTATTCAGGCTTGATTTAGGTTTTATTTAGGGTTGGTTTAGGGCTAATGTTTGGTTTGGGGTCTATTTAGGGTTTATTCAGCCTTGGTTTGGGGTTTATTTAGGCCTGGTTTAAGGTTTTTAAGGGTTGGTTTAAAGTTAAGTTAGGGTTTCATCAGGGTTTGTGCAAGGGTTGGATTAGGGTTTATTTCGGCTTGGTTAGGGTATAGTCAGGCTTGGTTTAGGTTCTATTTGAGGTTAGTTCGGGTTAATGGTTAATGTCGGGTTTCGTCAAGGTTTGTTTTGGGATCTCTTTCGGGTTGCTTAGTGTTGGTTTTGGGTTTTTAGGCTTGGTTTGGGTTTATTTAGGTTCAGTTTAAGGTGAAGTTTGGGTTTCGCCAGGGTTTTCTTGAAGGTTGGTTTAGGGTTTCTGTAGGGTTTTGTTTTAGGGTTTATGTAGTCTTGGTTTGGGGTGTTTATGGATGCTTGGTTTTTGGTTTCTTTTGGTTTGGTTTAGGGTTTAATTATTGTTTCGTCAGGGTTTGTTTTGGGGGCTGGTTTAGGGCTTGTTTTAGCGCTGGTTTGGGGCTTACTTAGGGTTGGCTTAGGGTTGGTTTAGGGTTTATTCAAGGTCGGCTTAGGGTTTATTTAGGGTTTGTTTAGGTTTCGTTTAGGGTATATTTAGGGGTTGGTTCAGGGTATATTTCGGGTTGGTTTAGGGTTTCTTTGGGGTTGGTTTAGGGTTACTAAGGGTTTCGTCAGGATTTGTTTTAAGAATGGTGTAGGGTTTATTTAGGTTTGGTTTAGGGTTAGCGTAGGGTTTGTCAGGGTTTGCGTGAGGGTAGGTTTAGGCTTTACCTAGGGGGTTTCTTTAGGGTTGCGTCCAGAGGGACTCTTTGTTGTTGACGTCCCGTTTTTCCAAGTTCCCATGGATTCTTTAGTAGATAAGATAAAACAAGATAGATAGATAGATGGATAGATGGGTAGATGGATAGATGGATATATGGGTAGGTAGGTAGATAGATAGATACATACATACATAGACACATAAATACGTAGATAGACAGCTTTCAAGGGGTGACTGACTCTTTGTTGTTGACTTTCTGTTTTCTCCGGGGGTTCCTGGATTCTCCTTCCAGGGTGACCGATTCTTTGTTGTTGACTTTCTGTTTTCGTCCGGGTTCCTTGATCCTCCTCCCGGTTTCCGAGGGGTGACTGACCCTCGGTTGCTGACTCTCTGCCTCCTCTTCCTTCCCTGCATCCTGTGCTACTGTTCACCGGTGACTGACTTTGTCCTATGGGGTTCCTGACTCGGACGTTTGGGGCGACTGACTCGGGTGATTGGCTATGTCTTTGCCCCCCTCACATGGCAATTTTAATGGGGAAAGGAGGATGAACCATCAAACCTATCTGCTTATCATCCCAATGAAGTGGGAAGTACTGTAACTAACAATGCACATTTGAACCACTTGCTGATGAGGTTAGGGAGTTCCGGTCTCGTGTCGATAAGACCAGTGAACTCCACAAAATTCATAATGAATTCTGGCACTTGATGGTCTATTTAGTGAGGGATATCACTTTATTTTTTGATCCCTGAGTCAGTTGAAGAACACCTGAAGCCGATGTGTTTGACATGAACTGTCTCCCTGACCCGGTTTTCCATGTCCATGAAAGGTTTTTGAGCCGGAAAGCTTCGCGATTCAACTCGTTTTGTTTTTGTTGGAACCCTGATTCCACGACGAACACGCAGTACTTTGTCTGTGTAAAGCCCATCTGTTAGGCCCTTGGAAGATCATTTTCAGCGACTAAATACCTGGAAAGCCAGGCTTTTCAACATCTGTTAAAGTGACCCAAATAATCACAGATTGTGACCTTTTCGATCTTGGGATAATCCACTTTGGTGTGTACATATATGGAATTAAACAAATGAATAGATAGATATATATATATATGTATATATATATATGGAGGTTTCCTAAAATTGTGATTTTATTCCCCACTTGTCAGGTGAGGGTTGTTAGATTTTATGTCAGCTGTCCGGCCGCCTCCTCCTCCTCCGCCTCCGCCGGACCTCAACTGCAAACGCTAGATCGCAGTGTTCCCCGCCGGACCCGAACAGCAAGCACACTGTTTCCCGCCGGACCTCGACCGCAAGCTCTGGAGGAAAGTGGTCCCCGCCGGACACAAACAGCAAGCTCAGGATCAGAGTGTTGCCCGCCGGACCTCAACCGGGAAATCCGGATCAGAGTGTTTCCTGCCGGACCTCAACCACAAAGAATCTCCGAAGATGTGCCAGATAGAATGCCAGAAAGAATGTCAGAAGATATACCAGATACATATGCCAGAAAGAACAAAGATAGAATGTCAGAAAATATGCCAGAAAGAATGTCAACATATATATACACTTGTATACCTATATACTTGCCATATATATACTTCCAGATAGTATGTCAGAAACTATGTCAGCATAAATAGTGTGTCAGGGTGGGGATCACTCGAAG